GCACCTTCGAACCTATACAATTGTGAAGGTCCTCATTTCACCAAAATCATCCACAACTCTCCTCGAGCTAACTTAGATAGGAGCCTTGCCCTAGTTCGTGAAAAAGAGTAGGGCTGTCAGTTAATTGGGTTGACCCAAAGAGCCACCCGAATTGAACCCGTTTTGGGGCAATCGGTTTGGTTAATCGGGTGATTTTGGGTCTGTGCGGGATTAACTGTAAAGCTATTTCGGTACGGGTGCAGGTGGATGAATTTTACTTCGGGCACCGCCCGATAACCTGAATTTATCATTAATTTTTTTAAGGATATATATATATATATATATATACACATATATATATATATATCATATATACACATAAGTAAGGCTTGACTGGTTCAGGTTATATTTTCTTTCCCTATAGTTGTCGTCTTCCTCCACAATAAACGACATTGCTCTCTCTTGCTTCTCCACATCTCTTGACTACAACCCCCCCCCCCAACCACCAACACTCTACACCATCACTCTTACTCTACAGGATTTCCTTACCAGAGTTGGCGGCGACGATTTCCTCTTCAGCCACGGTTCAATCAACCAAAGCAATTTCCTCCCTTCTTTTTCTCTATATCTCCTTTATACCCAAAAATCCAATTCTCATATCTCCAATTCCCTTTCCTCCATCCTATTTCCATCACAATCGCTCAGATCTAGCAGTACGTTGTCTACTTCAAGCTACTACAGCAATGATAGTAACAGCAACAATCGTCCACATATGTCAGATTTTGGCATCTATTTGTTTGATTTTCTTTTTCATTTCTTCGTTCTTTTTTAAAGAATGTAATTGGAGTAACAAGATTTTTTTTTGTATTTGTGCGGATGTTTCCTTAGAAATAAGTTTTTGAATGATTTATTGTGTTTAATTTTTTGGAGAAGAAAGTGCCAAACAACTATACTGATGATTTTGGGGAGAAAAAAAAAAAGAAAAAGAAAACTACGCGAGTGAACCAAAATCGAACCGAACAACCCGATTATTTTTTTGGTCGGTTCGGTTTGATGTTGTATATTTTGCGGTTCGGTTTCGGTTGAGTATCGTGAGAAGAAAAAATCGATTAATTCGAATTGAACTAACCCGAACTGCTCGTACTGACAGCCCTGAAAAAGAGCATCGTGGGAGTATATGAGTTGCTCCTCCTCTCTCGAAAGAGACTCAGGGTCGTCGTTCATGTCCGCACATCCCTTGGGCTAGAGTTCCTCGGGATCATATTTGCCTCCCAATTTGGTAACCATTGAAGAGGCGTGTTCGAGGGCCACTTGCAGCCGACAGGCGTATTGCCTAACTCTCTCAATCTTGTCTGAGGCTCGATGTTCCCATTTCACAGCAGCAAGGGCATAAGCTCTTCAGAGGTGGGTTAGGACACTCTCGTAATAATTTCACGGGGTCAGGATTTATAACCCCCTCGCTCTTCTTCTTCTTCCTAATCGTAGCCTCGAGTTTTTGAAAGTGAACCGTCGTGTGAAACTGAATTTCAACTACATTCTTAAAGTGGTCCTCTCAGTAGGCCTCTACTTTTTTTTTCCAGTAGGCCTCTAGTTATTTGTGAAGACAACGGAGCCTTTCATTCTCTGCCCCTAACTTCTCCGCTGCCTCGAATGCTGTCGCTTGTTCGGATTTTCGCATGGATTTAAGAGTTATCCTAAGTCGATCTTCAAGTTCAGATAATCATTCCCCTTTGAGATTCAAGGAAGGGTCTAATAAGGTCTTCCCGATGGCAGCATAGTAGGGGTACGTAACGGAAGCATAGGAAGGGTCGGGTAGATTCACACGTACATGGGGAATAGTGTCTACACACCTACCCCCTGAAGTCGAAGGTCCCTCCTTTACATCACGGGATAGTACCGTAGAAACAGGGGCATAAACGAGGACTTAGCCAGAAACATAGTGTATTAGGAAGACATAGTGCAATGGACATAAAAGAAAACAAAAGCCTTAAGGGGCTAGGAGGGTTCATATTAAATAAAACGACCCTACGGGGCCTGAAAGTTACAAAAGCATTAAAAAACTAAAAGAGTACATAGATCATTAGCGCCAAAGACTCCTTAGGATTCACCTTGGGGCCATTGCTGGTAGCATCAGAGTCAGAAGACGACTCGTCACTCTTAGAGCTCTCACTTCCCCCAGCCTTCGGGTTCGAACTCTCTTTCCCTCTTTTCAGTCTCTTCTTCCTTCTCTTCCTCTTCTTCATCGTCAGGTCCCCTCAGCATCCTAGGAGGAGTTTGGACACCCCTCGGCATCGAGAAAATCTTTGAGGGGCCCAATTGAATGTGTTGGATGTCCTCTGGAGATGTGATAGAAGGACACAGTTTAGAGATCTCTTGAAGAATTGACACTTTCTCCACCTCTATGTCCCTGAAATGCTTATGCACCGTAAACCTCTAGCAAATCGATGAAGTTCGACCCTTGTTCGTCTCATCTGCATACTTATCTAAAAGAGGGACGATGTTTTTCTTCTTATTCATGGCCTCATTGGCCTCCACTAACATGTCCCTTATCCCTATTTCTAGAGCAGGACCCATCACTGCGTTGAGACTCTCCGCGAACGTCTTCGAGTGAAGCTATTGTTGAACGCCTGTGAAGATGTACTTGTCCAGCTCTGACTTAGGGATCATCGTGTCCCCCAGCTTCTTCAAGGCCTCCTCATGTGCCTTTGTTGCTTCTTCCAAGTTCGACCACGCCTCAGTCAACTGATTGTTCAGATCAACCTGTTCCTTATTTAGCTTCTGAATGGAATTCTCCGCCCGCTTCAACTTCGAGGCACGGTCAATCGCCCTCTCCTCTTGGGACGATGCGTGCCGACGCAAGGTAGTACAACAGCGGACAAAAGAGTCCATAGCCTGCAAAGCCTATTCGAACAAGACTCGATCCATTAGTAAAGTTCATATGAATATATATATATATATAGATATATATACCCAAGAACGACTATATCTACTTGCTTCATGCACTCCTCGATCTGTGGCTGCTTCAAGAGTTGAACGTCTGGGCAGTTCACGATCGAAGGGTCGAGACTGATCCAAGCTTGTCCAGGCTGGATGGACTTCGGGGCGCTGACAACTCTCCCATGTCCTCATACGTCTCTCTAAGCAACTGATCAGCTAGATGCTCCCTTCACCACATGGGGGCAAGTTCGACTCCGGAATTGGTTTGGACTCAGCTCTCGATTTCTTGGCTGAAATGGGATGCACCATTTGAGCGGTCCTCCGGCGATCACGGCTATCGGATGAGGTTGCCTATTTGGTGATCCGAGGCTTCTTCTTCTCAGGGATTTTCACTTCCTTCTCTAGTTCCTCTGGGGCTTCCTCAGCCGCGATAGTCTCGTCCTCTGAGTCATCACCAAAAGCTAAGCATTTAGTCATCAGGTCGAAATAAAGTACACCTACCAAAGAAAAGAAGAAGAGTTAGAATCAGTTTCGAATACCTTGGTTAAAATACGAGATAGAGTTACTGAGGGCGGAGATATCTAAGTAAGAGTATGATGGCCCCCATTGGACCAGTTTATTGATGTCTCCAAGTCGAGCTGCTTTGTAGCTATCGTCTTTAGTTGACTAAGGGTCGAGCGTCTTCTTCCCATCATCAGGAACTCAAGGATACAACTTACTAAATTTGAATCTACAAAAAATATTCTGACCTCCAAGCTTTCGAGGTCTCATTTTTCTTCACTAATTCTTTTTGAGGCCCTTTCGGGTTCTTAGTGAAACTATACCAGCCAGGATAACTCTTCCCACAACGTACCAACTTGTAAAAAAAGTAAAACAAGAGTACGTCGGGTTCGACCTTGGTCTTATTACACACATGAACAAAGGCCAATACGAGGGTTATGAGGATCGGGGTGAATTGAGCTAAAGGGAGCTTATGATATGCCACGATTTCCTCAAAGAGTGGGATCAAAGGGAAGTGCAGACCATATTCCAAGAATTTAGAGTATATAGTTACCTTATCCGAGGGAGGTGTGTCCGCCCTCTCCTCGCCCTCAGGCAATCGAGCGTTAAGATCCCCCAAGTTATATTTTTCTTCTATCTCTTCCAAAGCCTCCTGGTTCAGGGAACATACTATATCCTCTACCCTAGTAATTTCTTTAGACATGATGGAAGGTAAGGGAAAAAGAGGGCGGGTCGACTTACGCTAAGCCTGAAGGTTCTGTTTCCGATTGCTTACGGGTCGCCGCCAGCCGCCTTCAAGTTCAGATCAATCCGTGGTCAAGGGTCCTCCGTACTCGTCTTCTACAGGTCGAATTACAATAAAGAGTCCGAAGGTCTTCCGCACTCCTCTTCTGCGGGACTCGAGTTGATCCGAGGCCAAGGGTCCTTCGCGATCGTCGTCCACAGGTTGCCGTCGATGGGTTTCGAGGGGGTCGATCAGCACTACGGTCGAGGGCTCCCCGGATTTGTGTTCTGCCAGCCCGCATCGGCGGGGATCTCACACAAGATTTCTTAAGGCTGGTGATGAGGTGCAAAGATTTAGGAGTGAATGATATAAGAATAACTGCTTCCTCTGCTATTTATAGAACTAAAAGGAGTTCTTGAACAGTCACCTCGGGAGACACATTAACATCATTGCGACCGTCCATATTCCGCACGATGGGAGACGTCCATCTCCCTTTAATGGGTTAACCCTCCACCGTCGGATTCTTCCTTAAGCCCTAAAAGACATAGCATTGGACTTGGGCTGCCTCCTATGGTTTTAATGAATCATTTGGGCTTTTTCCTTCTTATTTATGTGCCAGGCCCAAAAACACATTGCCTTTATGGACTAGGCAAAGGCTCTTGATGGAGGAAATAAGTAATGAGGCCCAAATATTTTTATAATTTTTTTATCAGATTATAAACCCATAGATTCGGGTTCACTGGGCTCCTAGCCCTACTCTCTTCACTGGTCCAATTGTGAAAGGGGCTCACTTCGTACCAAATAGTGTATCTATAAATAGTCTCATGCATATACTACAAGGGGTTAATGCACATTTACTATTCTCTCTAAACATTGAATGTGGATATTAATTTCTCTCACTGTACTGACTTAGAGCGACCGTTAAAACGTAAACCCCAAAGCTCCTAGTCCTACGTCTTCCTAACTTCAAAAATCCCCAAATCCTAAAACCTCCAATGTCCTGACCTCAAAAATGCTATCTTTAGTCCAGAACCCCAGGGTGCTCCGCCTTCCAAACCTCCACAAAATTCCCTTAAAATGCCTTCACGCTTCCCCTACGCCGTCTCCCGCGGCCGCCTCAATCTCCTCCGCACAGCCCACTTCCCAAATCCTCACAATCCGAAAATCCCTTCTCGCCGGTGAGACTACGGCCGTGGAAACCGCCAAGTCTTATCTCGGCCGTCTTCGCCGCACCGAACCGGACCTCAAGAGCTTCCTTTACGTGTCCTCCGACGAAGCGGTTCTGAAACAGGCCGAGGAGATTGATCGGAAAATTGGGAACGGTGAACAATTGGGGCCTCTTGCCGGCGTTCTTGTTGCGGTTAAGGACAATATTTGCACTGCTGACATGCCGTCCACTGCTGGGTCGAAGATTCTGGAGTATTACAGGCCGCCGTACGATGCCACGTGCGTGAAGAAGTTGAGGGAAAATGGGGCTATCATTGTTGGCAAGACTAATATGGACGAGTTTGGAATGGGAAGTACCACTGAGGGTTCTGCTTATCAGGTATTGCATTTTACTGCATTTTCATTTTTAATCCGGAAGTTGTTGGAAAATTCTTCGTGTTTTGAAGTGTGATCATGAATTAAAGTTGGATTTCTTGTGATTGAACTGAAAAATTTGGTTATTCTTTTGTTAATAGTCCTTTAGTTGGCGTTGAGTTGATTCTGATTTAAATTGATAAACTGGATGCTACGGAATGCTGGCGGAAGTTTAAGTGGAAGGATGTGATTGGGTTTTGTCTTTTTTTTCTTTTTTTTTTTTGTTGGCGTGGCTACTCCTGATATTTTGGTGTTTCTTGCGCTCTTTTTATAAGTGGTGGTGTTTATGTGAACTGGTAGCTATTGCATTTAGCAACTGCCTTTCTTTCTATAATGCATATGATTTAGGTAAGTAGAATAGCTGCCGAGTTGTGGGATTTTATCTTTTGTACAGTTTCAAGTCTTTGTTGATTACACTAATAACTGCATTTGTTCTTTCAATTGAGAACACGAACAACTTGGTTCCGTATCTGCTCCTTGTAACTTGAAATGGTTTGCTCAGGTGATGCATCTTCATCTTCAATAGGTGACAGCTAATCCTTGGGATTTAACTCGGGTACCTGGGGGATCATCAGGGGGTTCTGCTGCTGCTGTCTCTGCTCGACAATGTGTAGTGTCCTTGGGAAGTGATACTGGTGGAAGTGTTCGGCAGCCAGCATCTTTTTGCGGTGTTGTTGGACTTAAACCAACTTACGGTCGTGTCTCAAGGTATGGCCTTGTGGCATATGCATCATCTCTGGATGTCATTGGATGTTTGGGATCCTCTGTTGCCGACACAGGAATTTTTCTTCAGGCTATTTCTGGCCATGATAAATTTGACTCCACTAGTAGCAAACAAGTGAGTATTCTACTGTGATAGGATTAATTTCTTTGCTGATACTTATTTGCCGCTTGTTGTAAGATGTAATGCAATCCTCTGCATATTTACTTCTTTCATCTCATGGACGTTGCACTTTCTTAGAGCCGAAAAAATGAAAAATGAGAAGTTTATTGATTAAGTGTTCCTATTTGTTTTATGCCTAAAGTCTTTAATATTACAGATAAGAAAAGAAGAAAGCCTCATATAAGTTTAAATGTTGATAAATATATGTTTAAAATTGTCACATGATTAAAATTACCAACTGCCGTGTTTGAGCAGACATTGAAAGATTTGAGTCTTTAATGTTACAGATAAGAAAAGAAGAATTCCTCATAATAGCTTATTTTTATTTGTAAATCCTCTTTGAAGTTTAAAAGTTTGGGGTCATTCTTGTCACAGAGATTAAATTGGCTGATTTGTAAGGGTTCACTTTGTCTCAGGTAATCCCCGACTTTACATCTCAATTTACTTCCGTTGATGATATGGAATCTAAACCCCTGAGGGGACTTCGAGTGGGTGTAATCCGTGAAACTCTAGAGGATGGAGTTGATTCAACAGTGGTTTCTTCCCTCCAATACGCTGCTTCTCATTTGGAGGATTTGGGTTGTACCATATCAGAGGTAAGTTTTATTTTAATCTTCTGGGAGTGTTATCACAATTGATAACACTCTGGACATAACATGTTGAGTACATACTTGCAGGTCTCGTTCCCGTCCTTCTCCCTTGGATTACCAGCATACTATATTCTTGCTTCATCTGAATCTTCTTCCAACTTGGCCCGTTATGACGGTGTTAGGTGATTTATGGATGACTGTTTTCTTCACCTCTCTGTCTCTCTCTCTCTCTCTCTTTTTTTTTTTTAAAAAAAAAATTCTTTCTTTTCATCTATTATTGAACATATGTGGTAATATTATGTATGCTCATGTATATAAGATATTAAGACCATTACAGTTAACAAATTAGTTGAACACTAAGATTTTGTTCCAGATTTGGGAATCAAATATCTGTTGACGGATTAAGTTCCCTTTATGGGAATTCTCGTGCTCAAGGCTTCGGAGCTGAGGTATAAATATGGATTACGTAGTTCATAAATATGATGTGGACTTATTCACTGAATGCAACTTTGTACCTGTGATATAAATATGTGATTATACTAGTTCCTTCGACTTCCTTTTTCAGGTTAAATTGAGGATTCTAATGGGAACATATGCACTTTCCGCTGGTTACTATGATGCATATTACAAGCGGGCCCAACAGGTATTGTATGTTATTTGTGTTATCTGCTGAATATTTACAACATAAATGCCATGAAGGCCAACATTGTTCTGGAAATGGATATATGTCAACTCTTTATGGAAAGATTCCCCATCTTTCCGTTTATTACCTTGCTTTGTAATCAGGTGAGAATTTTATGATCTTTGATGGTGTCTTAGGTCAGAACTTTAGTACAGGAGGGCTTCAAGGCAGCGCTCGATGAAAATGATATTCTGATATCACCAGCAGCTCCATCTGTTGCGTATAAAATTGGTAAGATTCATGGATCATCTTAAATTTGTTATTTTTGTTTCAGATACTTTTTCTACGCCGTAGGATTTTACTTTTAAATGAGGCTGAGCTTAAATGCAAGATTTATAACTTGCAGATGAGAAGAAAAATGATCCATTGGCCATGTATGCTGGTGATATAATGACTGTAAGTTACTTTTTGAAATCCTGTTATATAACAGTTCTGTTAGCTGAGTACTAGTCTGGAAATTCTTTCATCAACTGGTTTATGTTTGCGATAATGTAATTGATTAAAGTTGGATGTGTTTTAAAATAAGAGAACTGCCAATGGCAGTATGTGTAGTTCTTATAATTGGATACTCTGGGGATCTTGATTTTAGCATTGGCACTTTGTCTGAGTGATGAAAAGTAGGATCATTGAGCTTTATATTGTACAATCTCTTATCATATTCAATGCATGTTATGATAGGAGCTTTTTGGCCTCCTGCTTAAGCTTATTTACATGTGATGCAGGTCAATGTAAACTTGGCTGGTTTGCCTGCGTTGGTTTTACCATGTGGGTTTGCTGAGGGGGGTTCATCAGGCCTTCCTATTGGCGTCCAAATGATTGGAGCCGCATTCGATGAGGTTTGCACTTATTCCCTTCAACCTTGCATCTGATTTTTGAGTGTGGAAGACAATATTTTCTCCTAATATAGTCTCCTTATCTGATCCTGCTTCCGTCCTTAGTTTGAAGAATATGAGTCTTGCTGTTAACGGCAATCTGTTATAAACAATATTTGACATCTTATTGCAGGAGAAGCTACTTAGAATAGGCCACGTGTTTGAGCAGACATTGAAAGATTTGAGTTTTGTTCCTCCGTTAATAGCCAACAACTTCTGAGAGTTGATCGTTCAATTCTATGGAATGAGATTGCCGAAATCAAAATACTTGAGGGCTCAAAGTAGCTTTTGCTCAAAAATCGAGATTCGAGAGGCATTCATCATTTTCCAGAAACTGCTAATGTAGCCGAAACAAGGAAGATCCTCTAGGTGTCTTACTCTTTTTGTCTTCATGTATGTCCTGATTTTGTTCAGTTTTTCCAAAATGTTACAGGCTGGAACACAGTCCGTAGTGTCATATGAGGACTTGGATGTATAGATTGGGAGTGTGTTTCTTTAGTAAATTATTTCTAGCAATTTATCCACAGTTTTCCAAGACTCGCTGTTTTTTTTTTTTTTTAATTCATCATGCTTGTGGAGATTCTCTTTCTATAATCAGCAATAGATCATGGTTTAAAAGCAACATATGACCCTGAATATCTTTCAATACAGAGCGTTACCAATAATATGTCATCGACCATTCGCAGTGTTTATTGATGACTGAAGTAAAAACATTTCAAGTAAACACTTACAAGAAATGTTTATGCATATCCTTTCTTTTCTAATTTAATACTAGTTCATTTTATTAATTTAAAATAATACAATGAAATGAAATTTTTTATTGAGATGAAGTGACAATCTTCCAAGGAATAATCATGATTTTGAATAGCCGGGAGAAACTCCCTGAAGCAACAACATACGGTAGATGACATAATGTTCTTCCCTATTCGGTTGCTTCTTGTTTCTCACTTCTTCTCCATTTGTTTCTTCTTATAAGCTTCTCTCTTCGAACGTCCTTATTTTCTCTTCTCTCCTCCTTCATGCTATTTTTCTTTCAATTAACTTTGGTTCTTCTCTTCATCATTACTTGTTATTCTATTTGGTCCTTAATATAAGGCATTTTGATTTGTCTTAAGTTTCACTTAATACGCATTTTTAATTGAAAAAAAAACTTTAAACATATTTCGTAATATTCAAGAGAATAAATCATGTATACATATTAAAACATATTTAGGATGGATCCAAACCACATATACATATTAAAACAAAATATTTCGATAAAAATAAAACACGATACCATGAACGCTTTTAACAAGATACACACGGTTTAGCGTGTAGAGTCTATAACGTGTCTATTTCTGTCCTACTACTTCTTAATCTTTATTACGCGGAATACATTTTTCATCCGTTGTGAAAGCAAAATAAAATAAATAAAATAAATAATGATTTTCTAAATATAGAAAAGTAAGATGAATGATAACGTCAATGATCGAGGTTTTGGACTGTGAAAAACACAGATAATGTTTATCCAAATTGTACATAACTTCTACTAAGGAGGAAATGGCTGGGCAGCCACTTAACTCTGCCCATACAATGGCATTCATGGCATTATGCATCCAAAATAAAAAGCTTCGTTGTCAATCATATTATTCTTACGTCTGCACAATAACCCGGTGCTTGCTGCAGTTCAATGAATCATAGACAGCCCTTTAGGTGATTGCTTCAGCTAAATTCCTTGTGCATCAGTTGTTTGGAGGGGAACAAAAAGTAGAGAAAAGTATTGGTTGGATAATATTATTTTCGGTGAAAACTTGAAAGAAATGATGCAATTGAATCTAAATTATCTATGTATTTAAATTATACTCCCTCCGTCTCATAATTATTGTCCACTTTGAGTTTTCATTTCTAGTTTAAATTGTAGTAAAAGTGAAATCTCAAACTAGATAATAAAGTTGGGACAGAAGGAGTAAATGAGAAATTGTATGTATACAATGTAAATAAAGACGGGTCTAACTTCATGTACATAATTAATTCCTTGTTATTTTATACATATTTGGGGGAAGAAAAACAATAACAAAATTGCGAACTAATTCTGAAGTTGAAGTTGTGAATCTTTATCTTACTTCTGAACAATAAAAAATTACAGTGCAATAGTCTATAAATTATAATAGGAGGTAAACCACCCTAAACAAACTTAGATTGATGCTATCTTAGGATAATTGAAAATAATAAAGTTTGTAAAAATGCTCTTTATGTCGAGATAGGACTTAGCTTGGAAGGTTGTGTAGGGTGATAAAGAATGAACAATATGTAACCAGAAAGTTGGAGTTCAAATATTATTGACAAGGGGCGGAAAAAATAGTTTTGTTTCCTTCAAAATTTGATTCTCTCGTACTATAATAGAAATAGTTACTTCTAAACAATAAAGATTACAAAACATTGAGACTTCGCAAAAGAAAAAAAAAAATGTATAAGAGAAATTTTATCTTTATAATAAGAGATATGAAACTATAGAGAAAGAATAAGTAGGATGAGAACAAGAGAGAAGAGATAATTCATCTGTGTCTTATTCTGTGGAGAATGATCTCATTTTATAGACAAAATAGATACAAAGATAACATCAAATAATGATAAGATATAGCTAACTAAATATTATCTCTAAATACTTGATTTCTTGTATAACTCTTCTAACTTGTCGACATCTACATTAAATATTTATAACACTCCCCCTTAAATGTCCATTCTTTGGGATAATGCCTCGTTAAAACTTTTACAAGAAAAAACCCAGTGGGATAAAAATCTAATAAAAGAAAAAAGAGTATATTCCCGAATATGACACTGCCTCGTTAAAAACCTTGTCGGGAAAATCCATTGGGACAAAACCTCGATCAAGGGAAAAAGAATACAGCGTGGGGTTACTCCCCTTGTTGAGTATATCACTTGTAATCTTCTCGTTGCATGCTAAGATATTGGCTAATTTCACTAATGTTGAAATCCATAGTAGATAAATTTGCTACACGGCCCTTCAACTTCTCATGCAGACGATGATCTTCATATGCCATGTTTAATCTTAAGTGATTCAGAATAAAAGAGATCCATAACCATTGTACCTCAAATGTATCAATATTTGTGATATTTCAATGTCTTCAGTAGTTGATAAAATAAACCAATACTTTATAATATGGTACTTCAGGACCAAATCGGTTTACATCATTATTAGAAGGTCTATCAAGACTTTAATTAAGTATTCTCAACAGGAATTAAATGTATACATACTAAGGTCAAACTAAAACTGAGATTCTACTCAAAATCTTTTATTTTTCTTAATTCAGGCAAGTAGCAACCTTTTGAACTTCTTTTGAAGTCTTAATAACTACGATAAACTCTCCAGGAGTTGTATTGGTTTGAGGCTATTCGAACTCCATAATAAATTTCGATAATATTCAGTCTTTTCAGACTCTTCAAGAGTTTAGTGTTAACTGTGTTCTAAACACAAATATATATAATGAACACATATCAATATCATATAAATATGATAATATAGACATATAGCAATCACAAACAAACAAACAAAATATATTATCATAAAACAAATATAAAGACAAGTGCATAAAGCAAACATTCAAAAAAATATGCACCTATATATTTGTCTAAAAATATGAAGACACTCGTACATGCGCAAATCTTTCGAATTAATTTCTCAAGAATCGGAACCATGTCCTTTATTGAATCTTTCGAGGATTTCACATAAACATCATTATCAAAATCTGAAGTATCAAATTTCAAGTTTCAAGGGATCACTATTTTCAATAGACGCATTTTTATGTCTTCATTTGCTACCAGATGTACCAAATAACAGAATAATTTTTTTCATCCACTATAAGAGAATATATCTCCTTATGATTAACATCCGGACTTTGAAAAACCTTCTGCAACAAGTAGGTTACACTCTATCTTTTGCACAATTATCCAACAATATTAAGCCGGTATATTACGTATCAAAACTTCTAGTTTTTCGAGCAATCTCATTGTACCTACACATCTTCATGTGTGTGTATTGCGTCTTTCTATTTATTATGGCCATAAGTTTAATGTCTGCACTCACAACATACTTTTATTTCATGATCCTCATTTTCATTTGTATTACTAACAACTGCAGTATAAGCAAAATTTCATGTCGATATTTTATTGCAGATCAATTTCATCTTTCTTTTAGTAATGAGATCTCACTAAATTTTCCAAATATTCTTGTTCTTCTTCTGGAAGTTTATTTTCACAGTATTGGAAAATCATTTAATCACCCGCATTTTCCATTTCAATAGATCTAAACTTTATAATTTACGAGGATTCTTATCATTAGAATCAACGGTTCTACCACTTATCAAATGGACATTAAATTAAACAATAGTGGTAGATGATCCTTCAGGGATATAACATCAAAACATTAACAGCCTTTTACATGTAATATAATTATATATTTTGGTCATACAAATATCTGGTCTTTAAACATTATCTCTTGAACTTCATGTTCATGCTTTCGAGGATCTAATGAGATAATGATGTCGTCCATTTAATTTATTAATCAGCTGTTTTCACTTCTCCCCCTGATGTTAGGATAACAAATTCGTCAAACTGATTGTCAGCTAATCGAGTAGCAAATAGATCTCCTTTTGGAGTAACTAACTCGTCAAACAAACAATAAGTCAATCGAATAGTAAAACCCAACATCAATAATCCCAAAGGTTGGAGTTTCAAAATTCATCATATATTTTTAACCTCTTCTGGAGGTTCCATGTTTTTGTGCATTATGGTGGAACAATTAATATAAACTGCACATCTAAAATTTGAAGATTGATAGATATGATTTTTGACCGAAAACCAACGTTTGGGAGAATATCTATAAAGACCCATTTGGTCTTATGTATACCATTTTTGCCTTTGTGTTTCAAAACATCCTCAATTGTAGATGAGGTATTTGCTTCTCTTACGTAATGATTTTAATTATGTGAACACATTTAGCGAACGATTCTACAGGATCGTTTCATATTTATTCTGATATTTCATTCTCATGATAGAAGAATATGTAAATACATAGTTCACTTTAAATCTGTAAGAAATTTACAAACTTCAGGTTTGCAAGTTAATAATAAGCATACATGTGGCTATCTCATAAGCACACAAGTTAATAACCTAATTATTAAATAGTTTTACAATATGGGAGAATAAACCCACTGGCATTATTATGTATGCTTTGTATTGTGCCAAATATTTAACCTGAATTTTTCCGGTAATAGTGTGACAATCACTTCACACAAACACAAAAGTATATACAAAGTCATCATATAGGAGACTTTTCTGGCTCTTTATAGTAGTCACAAAATTCTTTGACCCGTAATAAAAATGGGATGGCAAACCAGTTTTCTCAAAAACTAAGTCAATATAATTCACAAACTTCTGGTTTGACTTGTTGGTACGAGAAGTGAACTTCTGGTTCCTTAGTAAATTTCCGGTTTACTATAAAACCCAATGATAGTAATATATGTATAATATTTTAACACAAAAAAATACAAACCATAAAACAAGTTTCTTCCAAAAATTGTATTCTTTAACGTAAAAGTATATGATGGCATTTTTCGACTTCGAAAAACTTTTCTCCAATTCATTTGACATCATTGC